TCGTTGGCTTTCCCCACATACAGGAATAATTTTGTAAATATTTTGTACTAGTAGTTAATATTTGTGACCTTTTGGACCTCACTATCGGGATGAATTCATTTTTAACACACCTCACATATTTTTAGAAGATAATCATATAAAATTAAATGATCGAGCATTTGCTGCCCGTCGGTGGGCTGGGGAAAAAAATGCCTAATTACCATACTTTGAATGGGCCAAAGTCAAAGCATCACTGTTTTTAGTCAGATTCACACAATGTGAACCCCAAGACATATTTGTGACAGTACTGTCACAAATTTGATGTATGATTTGCCAATGTTTACAACTATTTATGAACAAAATTACAGTTGTATGTTGCTACATAATGCAAACTTCAAAACCAGACAACTATGTAAAAAATTTAACACAAGCAACAATGTTATAGTACCAAGACCTTCATCTGTGTATTCTTTTTATATATACTTCAGACTAAACACCGGGATGTGGAGAAGGGTTCCCAATATTTTTAGTGTATGTTAGTACAGTATTAAGTACTCGGGAATCTATTAATCAATCTATGCACCGTATCTCTATGCCTGCCCATCTTTTTATTTGTAATGCGGACACACAAATAGCTCATATTTGTGAGGCTCCAAAAAGATCAAATCTTACACATTGGGATTAAGTGCTGGTGCAAAAGCAGTACATTAGGGCTTTTGGTGAAGGTCTGACTTTTCATTTTAGGAGGATGGTCAATTTTCCTAATATACAAAGAGACAAACGTCATCTTGCTCATGGTCGGTCACACAATGAGTGCTCGGTATCTGACGTCTGCCCATCAACTTCCAGTTTCATATTCTGTAGCCACAGTGGGTCGAAAGCCCAGGACCCTCCTATCGTCTTTTGGCATGACCTGCTTCTGACATTTGGCTTTGCATATGATATCCAATATATGGGCTGTAGAAGAAACTCTGCATTCACAAAAAGAATACTTCTCTCAGGTCTTCAACCCCTTTCACAGATCTATATATCAATCCATCTGACGCTCATGAGGGTAAGCGGTTTGGATAATGGATGGATGCATAGTAAAGTTGGTCTCATCTAGCAGTCTGTGTCTGTTGGGGAAATCAGTGTCACATTTTCTTCCCATGCTAGTTCTGGCCTTCAGCTATTCCTTTTGAGACAAATGCTACCTCCAAACCCAGAAAAGTGGTGGCCACCTTAAACCTCCCATTTCCCATTGACTGTTTAACAATTAAAAAAAACAAACATGTCAGCACCGTTCACATAGAGAGCTACTAACAGCAACAATTGGGTATTCATATATGTAAAGTTCTAGTCTTGAATGAAATTCCCTTAGGATTTTATTTATTTATTTTTTAACTTCACCCAGCTCACAGAAAGGAAATGATTCCACCTTTGTTTCTTTCAATGGAAAATTACTTCCTGATCAGTCTTAATTACCTTTGAATTGAAACCTGCAGCTCAACATCTGCTTCGGGAAACGGGCATGTAGGTGATTTTAGTAACTGGATAGCTCAATCAGCAGTTCCTGCTTGGGGTCGGATGTATGCCTAGATAACAATATTAAAGGGTTGTAAAAATTAGACCAGTCGTTTCAGACACACTGCTCGGGCTGGGAACCACTTATCTCAACAAACCAATTCGCAAAGATGGCATTTAACCTCAAGCTAACTACTACTTCGTAGGGAGAGTGACCACCACCCTCCTGATCTGTAGCTCCAGCTCAGCAGTATTACACAAACATTGTGTGACAATGCATCAATAAGTCAGTGTACAAAACACATCAGAACAAAAAAGGATAAAAAAAGCCAAAGGTACAGTTTAGTGGTCGGACGTGTTGGGAACAACATCGTGACTTCCAATGATGCCGTATTCGAGTATTTGAATGTACTATTTCTGACCACTTTTGCACATTTATAAGGGTCATACTTTTGCCCCCTTGTCCTAGACAGTTAACCTGATTGACTTCAAACTTGGGCTGTACCATCTTAACACCTGGGACAACAACAGGGATAAGTATTTTACATTTTCAACATACGATAGACAAGCATGCCAGGTTAATTGAACACTCTAAATTGTCCCAAGGTGTGATGTGAGCGCGGATGCACGTTTGTCTGTGTGTGCCCTGCGATTGGCTGGCTACCGGTTCAGGGTGTAGGCCTACTGCCCGAACACAGCTGGGATAGGCTGCAGCACGCCCGCGACCTTTGTGAGGATAAGCTGATTAGAAAATGGATGGATGGATAGATGGAAGTTTTCACCATGTTCAAAATATCCTGCAGCTAGTCTGGAGATGTAAACGTGTTGTTTTGTTTCACGTGTGCATCGAATAATTGAACAGTCATGCAGCTGAACAATTTCAATGTTATTGGTGAAACACAAAATTAATTGGCAAAATTATTAGGAAAATAAAAGGTCATGGTTTGGGTAAGGTTATTCGGGGGTTAATAATAAAAAGAGGCACACTTGATTTTTTTTAAAATGAGGTTGGAATTCAGAAAAGTACAAGGTTTTAAATTTTACAAAAAAAAAAGTTGAAGTGAGGTTATGCTTGGTAAAACAAAAATTACTGGACTGCCATTGCCCTACGGGCCACAGCTGGAATCAGGACGGCAGCCTCCACATCAGACTAAAAGAACTAATTCACGGCCAACATAATAATCACGGTCAATTAGCCATTATACGGCAGGCCCAGAATTCCTCACTCCGGCGAATGACCAATCAAAACCGTTCACGGCAAAATATCACTTGCAGGAGAGTTGCCAGTCACGGCAAAATAACCAATGGCTTTAGTAATACACTGACTAAAGATCGTTTGCTTCTGAGCAAACAAAACACACGAACACAGTGTCTGTAATAAAATCCTGTAAGTATTGCAAAATAAAGTGCGTTATTGAAATGAACAGTATGTACTGTACGAGAGCAGTTTAATCATTTCGAATAGGGTTGAAAAATAGACTATTTGCTAGGGTATCTAACAAAACAAAGCTGTAAACAAAAAGGAAATTCTGTATCAGCTTCGGTGTAAACGTTGCAACCATCTCCAAAAGCGGTGGACGCTTAACTATCACTTGGACGATGCTTTGCCTCATGACGTCATCTAAAGTGTACCATTAATGCAGTGCTAATAGTTATTTTGTGCAAACAGACTATCACATGTATAGCATATGCTAGCTAGCGTAGTAGTCTTTTCGAGAAACCTTATTTCCCATGAAACTATTACGATGCTACTCACCGAGATAACTCCGTATCGTAGATCCGTTTGACTTTGGGGTTTGATTATTTACCTTCCTTGTGGTGACGAACAAATTTTGTCTTAGTTGCGTGTTTAAGCTTCCCTTGTACAAAAGCTAGCAGCAGCAGTCATTACCGACAACCGAAGACACTGACGGCTCGTCATGATTGGTTGCCAGGTCACGAGTGATTTTCCGCTTAAACATATTCTCTCTCACCCCTGTTCAAATGTTCTGAAAAGGCTTTATAAATTAATATTTTGTCTTCATATTTACTAGTATAACATAATTTTTTTCTTATATTCCCATCTTGAAGGTATTCTAATCAACGCCTGATGTATGTGTCGGATTTTGCCATAAGACTGTATTTTGTTGTGTCGGATCTGGCAACGCAAGGACCTCTAGTCTCGGTCATTTTAGCATGTTGTCCAGTAGTGGGCGCTGTTACACAGTGTAAGGTGCGGGTTTAGGATAGTTTACAGTACTCCAAATCATATTGTGAGATTGTGTTAATTTATTTTACAGATCGCATGGAGGTATTGTTCATTCATTAGAAAATTGTTTCAAAGACAGGTACGGCTTCGTATTTGGAAACAAATGCAGTTAATATCCACTTAACACCTGCGATTTTCCACCAGTCACAATAAAGCATTGTGCACTACGGATAGAAAACAGAATGATGTGTATGAAGCAACAAGTCATGTTTAAGTAGATTTTTTTTTTTTAATTGACACATACGACTCATTGAGACAAATGAAAAAAAAAAGCTGATGGTAGAAGAATCAACAATTTATCATTGTACATCATATCAAAAATGAATGGTTTGGGGTAAGTGCTGTCAACTTCATTTAGGGCATTGTCATTTATGTCAAATCAGAATTACATGTGCATGGAAAACATGAAACTACTGTTGTGCCGACAGTTTGCAAAACTAAGGAATTTATTTAGTTATTCAATAAAACCGCATACATGTTCTCAGGAACTCGATCCCGATAGCTAACTCAAGCTGTTCAAATTATATCTACTTGTAAATTGTTATCTTCTCTGAGAAATCAATCTTATAAAACATGAAAGACTTATTTTCTGAGGGAGGTCCTCCATGATGAGGTGCAGAATGCACTAAACGAGGCACTAAACAGCTGCCTATGTGTCGACAGTGTATTCATATCGGTAACTAATAGCCTCAATTACTGTACTGTATTGTACAAGAGACCCCCTCCCCAAAAAAAACAAAAAAAAAACCCCAGAAGACTCAAAACACATTTCACAGGATAACACATAACACAACTTGGTGTGCATAAGGAAAATGCAATTAACAACAGAATGAGAAAGCAAGAAAACTCTTGGAACCAAAGATTTACATAAACACTGAGGTCAGCTAAAATGGCTCAACTTCGTTCCAGTATTTGTTAAAAAGTTCACAACAGCCTTTCGAATTCTCTGTAGATCACAGCAACATTTTCATTGAAGAAATTGTAGCAAATTATTGAAAAAAAGACACTTCAATGAATACAACCGTGCTTGTAGAAAAATCAGCTAACTTTCCCATGAAGTGCTTTGTGGAATTAACCCCCCCCCCCCTCCAAAAAACAGCACAAAATTCCTCCTTTGGGAAACATGTTGGACAACAGCAAATCAATGGAGTACCTTTACTTGTTAATTGGCAATAAATGTAAAATATTACAATTTTACTATTAGTAAAAATATAGGCTTCAGTCTAACCCCATAAAATGGGTGTCTTTGTTTTAATAATAATTTGAAGAAAAAAAAAGCGGGTTTCTTGGTTTTGGTCTGAATTTAATGACAGGTGCAACTTGCATGTTTTTTTTTTTCGCAGCAATGCTGTGACTAATAAAAGGACAACAAAATAAGTTAAATGGCCACATAACCTTGAGAACTGAAAGCTATTAAAAAAAGAAAGGAGCGCAAATTTAAACTGTGAATCTACTGTTCGATGTAAGGCACTGACCAGCGCTGTGTGGATTCAGCCAGAATGGAGAAAAAAAGAAAAAAAAATCACAGATTCACAATCTTTTGGAGAGTTAAAAATACTAGTACTAAACAGAGCAATTATGGCAAGATGAGATAAGCTTAGAAGAAAGACGTCTTCATTTTAGCCTTTGGATGCTGCGCTGATGTTTCTGCAAGTCTCCAATGGCCACTCTCCAAGACGAATAGCACATAAATTCACAGCAATTGTCATCAATCATGAGGGCTTGAGGGCATGTTGACCATCCTCTTAAGTAACTTCATTACCCAGATCTCTGTTCAACAGATCCTCATGGAAGGTCATTTATTGCAGTGACCAACTGAATGAAGACTATCCACATTAATAAATAAATACGTCAAGACACGAAATGACAGAACAAAAGAAAAGGAGTGCGGCATCCTGTTCAAGATAAAGATGGACAGATGGTCTGAGAGATGACAAGGATGTAGTAAAACATCAGAGAACAAAATGCTATGCTAAGTTTGTCCTTCCGAGTTCAGGGTTTCTCATTTTTGATTTATTCTACAGTCTTGCTGGCAGCAGGTACTTTCTCAAAGTTTACTGGTTGACAAGGTTTTTGAACCATCAGTTTGTTCTCCGAGTTTCGTTCAGGGGGCAGGAATACCAACAGTATTTGGCTTTGTCAGTCTCCCCAGTAAGTTTGGCCTCAGCCATTGTATTGCTGCTGATAGCGTCTGTTCAACTCACGCAGCTCCTTTTCCCGAACGCGGCGAGCTTTGTTGGATTTGGTCGAGCGACTGGAGCGTGTGGACTGGGCCGACTTGGTGCTGTGGCAACGAGATGACGCCCGCTTCAGCAGGTTCTGAGATATACAGCGTTGGAGGTTCTTCATGGAGGAGGCAGCAGCCATGCTGACGATCCAGGGGTGCTTGAGAGCCTGGCCGGCACTCAGTCGCGCGCTAGGATCCACCGTCAGGATCCGCTCTACAAAGTCTTTGGCAAGGTTTGACACACTGGGCCACGGCTGGGGAAACAAGACAGGCGCAATGACCTTAATTGAAATGGAAGTATAACTCAGCTAACAGCAACAAATTTACACTGAGGACATTTATGTGTGTGGCATGAAAGAAAATTGGCTGCAGAACAGCTCAGTGGCTAGCACATCTGCTCTCAGTTCTGAGGTTGGGGCTTTGAATCCAGGTTCTAACCTCGCTGTGCTTGCATGGGTTTTCTCCAGCTGCTCCAGTTTCTTCCAACATTCCAAAAAATATGTTTCTTAGGTTAGCGGAGTACGCTAAAATAGTCCGTAGGTGTAAATAGTAGTTTGTCAATATGTGGCCTGTGACTGGCTGGTGACCAGTTCAGGGTGTACCCCAATTCTCATCCAAAGTCAGCTAGGATAGGCTCGAGCTCACCCGTGATTCAAGTGAGGATAAGCACTGTAGAAAGTGGGTGGAGAGATTAAATTAAGTCTTGGGTATTCATTGTATCACTGTACATCTATGTTCAGTATGTCTTACCTTTGTGCTGTTTTGCAGAAGTCTGATAAAATGCACGGTAACATAATTTGAAGGATCCGAAAGGCAACGGTCAATTTCACACCATAAATGACAACCGTCACTGTGAAATTTTGCAAGAGAATTGGAAAAAGTTCCAAGATTAGAAGGAACTTTGAAGCTTTAGCTGGGAGCACTTCGTGTGATTACACATTATACTGTGCATAGTGCCTGCCCAAGATTTGGACACATTTGCTCATATTCTTAATTAGTGTGTTCATATTTTGCAGGAGGAAAATTGGGAATAAATAAAAAAACAATACACCTACACTATATTGCCACATAAACTCATGTCAATGACAACTACAATGTAAACTACAGCCTATCATTTCAAGTTTCTCATGCTTCCGTTATAAAATTGGATAAAAGTAGAATTAGTCTTTTTGCACTACCAAGTGGGGAGTTGCTGAATTACAATTTGGGGAAAAAAAGATTTCATCCAAAAAAAAAGGCAAATCTATTCTGAACTAATTTTCAAAAAAATTACTATTATTTTAATCATTAATTAACCTGACAGTTATTTTGTCAATTAACCGATGCACATAAGATCTTTTTTTTAAGTCTTAATTTTCATCACTTTTTTCCCAAAACATTATTTCAAATTTGACAGTGCAGAAAATGCACAAACATAAATTATGATTCAGCTACGGTGTGGTCCGTAGCATGTCAAAAATCTAGACAAACAGGTTGATCGTTTTCCAAAGTAAAGTTGTTAAGCCACAAACCCTTTGAACATCTAAACCGAAGATTGAATATAGTTTGCTTTTTTCTTTTGGCTGCAGACACCGGTTTGAGCCAGGTGGCTCATTCCGAGGTATGCCAGCACATCTGCCATACTGGTTACCCATCATATTGACTATAATATCTGATCTGGAAACGGAACTGATTTGACCTGTCAGGCACTTTCATTTTTAATCCAATCTGCACTCATCCCCACAAAATTCACATTGTGGTTCTCATTAACTATTGCAAAACCTCTGGCCTATCATTTGTGCTGGAAAGGCTGCATGTAGGACAAGCGTCAACTTGGAGTGCGCCTTTGCAGAGCTCACTGACAACATAAAATCAACATTTTAAAACTGAATAATTACCGGTACACCAAACCCTCAATAAAAATGTGTAGTATGCATACACACAGTAAATCAGTACGTTTTACAAAATATAATTGTGTACTCAAGGCCACACTTTTGGAAAAAACTACAAGAATAATGCAATATGGGGAATGTTATTTTAAGGGTTTTTTTTGTTTTTATTAGAATAAATTTGTAATGTTGAGAGGAAAAACGGAGTTACTCTGTCGTATCACAAACAAGCATAAAGTACCCACATTAAAACATCAAGGGAATGAGCAGTTAAACGAGATTGTGCAAACGTGTGTATCTGCTGCGAAGACCACACAGACTGAATTTACATCTTTGGTTTTGTTGGGTGTAGTTTATCATTAACCAAGTATTTAAAAAAATATTTATACACACACACACAGACAGACAAACAGACAGACTGAAACAATATCAACTTGTGGACTCTGACACCCTCAGATACCAGAAGGAAATGTGTCTACGTTGAGCCATGTTACGATTTCTGGCAAACATACAGCGTAATGATTTCTCCCCCCCCGCCCCTCCTCCAAATATTGAAACATTGTATAACATTGTTTAGTGACTCCTTACCTCTCCAGAGAAGCTGTACTTCCCCTTGAGGATTTGCCGGTATAGCCTCATACGGTTGTCATCTTCAAAGGGCATGGTTCCACTCAGCAGGATGTATGAGATCACACCCAACGCCCACATGTCGACGGCATTCGTGTAGGGCTTCCTCACCAGGATCTCAGGGGCAATGTACTCAGGTGTGCCGCAGGTGGTCTTCATCAAACACTCGTCTCCCTTCTTCCTGCTGTTGGCCAAACCGAAGTCGGTGATGATGATCTTCGAGTCGGCGCCGGGGTGGTAGTACAGCAGGTTTTCGGGTTTCAGGTCTCGGTGCGTGATCCCCAAAGTGTGGAGATATTTGACACCGTCCAGCACCATCTGCAGCACGCGGGTGGCGTCTCGCTCCGTAAAGGAGCCGCGAGCAATGATGCGGTCGAACAGTTCTCCTCCGGTGGCCAGCTCCATCACCATGTAAACGCGCTCGGCCGTCTCAAAGACCTCCATGAGCTGGATTATATTGGTGTGGCGAACCCTTCGAAGAACGCACAGTTCGGACTCGCAGACCTCCCTTCCTTCCCTGTACCGGGTCTCAATCATCTTTATGGCGTATGGCTGCCGAGTGCTCTTGTGCTCCACACGGACAACCCGGCTAAAACTCCCTCGACCTATTAAAGCTTTGATGTCGTACTTGGCTGTGACTCGTGGGTCAAACTTGGCTCGATATTTAGCCACCTTTTTCCGTTGAGGGTCTGACACCTCAGATGGGTTTTTAGGAGTTTGGGTGGAAGCGACAGGAGTGGAAGCCTGTGCCTGAGAAAGAGATGGGAGGGTGGAGCCTGCCTTGTCGCCTACCCCGCCACCAGCCTCGCCAATCTTGCTGGCCGTACCATCTCCTCGAATGAAGTGCTTATAGATGTCTGTTTGACAGGGTGGATCCACCTGGAAGAAAATATATAGATGAAGACAGTCTCATGTTAATCAAGCACAACATTGCAGTAAAAATGAGGGGGGCGCGGGGGAATCCTCAAATCATCTCAGTCATAAGTCATTATTTAGGTAAGCACCTCTTGTAGTAAATGACATTAACATGCTGTTACTGAACAGAATCAACATTTATGCAGTTTTCCAGAGCGCATTCGCTTGCTGAGGTACTGTAAATGAATTTAATCTAATAATGGCACACATGCTGTTGTTCAAAATGGAGTATTCTGCAGTGAACAATCACATAGTGACAAATTCACAGACTTCTGCGGGGAGGAACTTGTGTTCTGTTATTTGCTGAAAACTCAGCCATTTGCCATTTTGTGCTCAGGCCAAAGCCATCTCATATAGCAATATTATTTACACAAACAACTATGTTAAAGTCAATTGAGGAGCTTCATGCAGTGCTGCCATTTTATGGCATCTTGGTACCAAGCAAGTTCGCAGGAGGGCTCGAGCCATATCCCGAATAGCAGGGGACCCCTGAATATCCAGGTCATCGGGACCGAACCCTGCTGCAAATGGAAAAAATCCACAAGTCGTAATAACAGTATTAATGCCCTTCTGAAAAGGTCTGCACTTGCTGATTGATGGCACAAGATGGCAACAAAGCACTTCCTTTGTCTAAATGATATTCGGAAACTTCAACAATGCCTTGGCACCAAGATGTTATACGTTGGCAGCCAAGCACTACTTTTGTCAAAATGAACCTCCTAAACTCACACTGACATAGTTCCTTGGCACCAAAATGCCACAAGATGGTACCAGCATAGTACTTGTATTCATTTTTGGCTTGAGCACTACATCAAATGGGTGAGGATTCCAGTGAATACCAGAGTCTAGATCCCCCTCCCATCCCCCAAAATGCAGGGATAGGTGAAACTCAAGGCCGACCCAGGAATATGCAGCTGTTTCCTGTAACGTGCATAATATAGTGCATCACCCTCATCTGCCCTTGTTACATGTGATATGACTAATAAAACCCCCACACTAGTTTCGTTTGTGTTTTTATGAGACTGAAGCTATAATGGATAACCATTTAATAATTCATCAAAGTCTGAAAGCTTCCATTTATGTCAGTTTAAATATCGTCACACTGTCACAGGCACTTTGGGCTCCGACAATTGCAATGCAGTCCATAATAATGATTTATTAATCCGTCCTCATTGCTCACAATTGAATTTCAGCATGGTTAACAATGGTGATAATGAACTTCATTTTTATAGCACTATTGGTGCTGCAGATGTGACCATACGGTTACAAAAACAAATTAACTTCAGAACACTGTCAGTACTGCACCAGGTAATAAAAGCCAATAACAATTTTACCTCTACAAAAACAATAATTATGGATAAGATTGATAATCAAATTACGGTACTGATCTTGTGTAGCGCATTATGGGGAATTAATCCCTAATAACAGTAATTATGTTTTACAGCAACTGAGGCAACATGGAGCGTACTACTGGACTAATCAAGCAAACGTGCTGTTCACTCAATTAGTTTGTATCATTATGAATACTGTATAGTGTAGTATAGTACACAGTATTTATTGTTTGTGTGCAAAGATTACGAACTCAAAGTAAATTTGCAATGTACTTACACAAGAAAACAATTTAACTGGGACAACACAAGATGACAAACTGTATATCCCTCCCTCTCACACACACACACACACTTATTCTCGCAGGAATTGAGAATATTCAGATATAGATTCTCGATCCTCCCAAAACGTTAAAAATAACATACACAATTTTCCCCAGTCAACCAGGGATATGTGGTCAAAAGTCACTCTGAATAACAATGCTAACTTGTGTTTATTATTATTAACAGTATTTATTGTGGCCATTTTTTTTTGTCGAGTCATCAATAAAATTAATATCTCAGAGGCACTTCTCATTTCAATGCAATGCAGTTCCACATGAGTGCAGAATAAAACTAATGAATTATCAAGGTGTGTTGTAATTTTCTGACAGTTTTAAGGAAAAGTTGTGTCCATTTACAGTATTACTGGTTGTGGAGCTGTACCTAATCGAGTGTCTGGCGAGTGTGGTTTAAACAATGTGTTTTACTGACCTTTTTGACCAGGTCCAACTGAACATCCCCTGGAGGCTCAGGGAGGACCTTACTGTTCCTGCACCCCATCACATAACTCGGGGACTCAGCCCAGCCAGCCACGCAGGCCACCAAGAGCCCTGCTTCATCACAGCATCAGCCGACTCAGCGTCGTCCAAGCTGCTTCCTGACTCAGACAGAGGGCTCATGAATCGAGTTGGAGTCCCAATCAGCTGGCATCAGCAGTCTGATTTGATCTTGAATGCATCAGATCCATCCACTAATGCAAAACGTCCACAATTTCATTACCGCAATATCACAAACATGGTGGTCTCCTCCCTCCAAGTAATATGTTATCACTTCATGTCACAATCGACCACTTTTGTTGAAATACGTGCACCCAGTCATTGTCTCCAAAGATTATATCTGACGTCCACATCAGACAACCGAATAGTTTGAGCACGTCAGATCAAATTGCATGGGTTAGCAGGGAAGCTTGGGACACAAAATCCACTGACAATAGGAGGGATCAAAGCCCTGCAGGGATCCAAAATTAAACTTGAGAGGAGTTGCCTTTTGGGCAAGTGCAAACTTCGGTAAGAGTTCCCACTGAAAGTATGCATTACTTTACTCCATCGGAAGAGGCTGCAAGGTCAACATCAGCATCTTCAAAGGCAAACCTGTAGAAGTGAAGATGGACACAATACTCTTTTCAACATCACCAAACAACATGAGTGTATCAGTTCTATGACATTTAGCATCCATTAGTTTATGCAGTGCTAAAATTCGAATTAGTTGTAATGTAAAGACAATAAGACAATATTTTCTTAATGTAAAACCATTGGGCAGAACATGATTGCGGAATGATTTGCTGTGCATTTGTTTATAAAAACAGTCAAATATATGTGACACTTCTCGGAGAGCTTAAATGCAAATGTTGTACTTAATATAATGACATTAAGGCGTTAATTACATCCTACAAGTAGAGACGACATTATCTACAAACGTTGTCATGTGTATTTGAGTGAGAAGAAGTCCACAAGTTAGTTTAAACTGGGCAGTCCGGCCCTTCTGATGCTCAAATTCCAAGCAAACATTAAAACGCAACATTTCAATCGAATTGGTGAGTGTAACGTGTCCCGTTCAGGCATCCCACATACTACGTTGGCGTCACATGAAAAACAAAAGTTGAATTCTCACCTTAATCGTGCTGAATAGCGATGGCGAAGTTGAGCAGGCTAACTAGCATGCTAGCAGCAGGGCAGGACTCCCAAATTTGCCAAATCCAGCCTCCTCACCCCACTATCACTCAGCTGGCCTCTCCATTTTCAACTTGGGATTTTTTAAAATTCTATCCTCAAGATGAAAGCGTCAAAACTTCTCAACACTGTGAGAACGACGGTCTGACTGAAATCCGCGTTTGACAGTGTCCTTCGTATACGTTGTCAAGTTTAAAGTTATCATTAGACTTTGCAAACTTTCCTCGTCGGATGTTTTTCAAGTCGGTGTTTGTCGGGCAGGACCACCTTCTTTTAGCCAGGATAGGCACAAACGCACTCAATCAAATTTTCCGCTTTATATTTTCAAAATAAAATATTTACGGAGGACGTCGTCGGCAAGGCAGATGTTGGCACACTCTCACTGCAAGCACAATTACGACGTGTGCATACGATGTGGCAGACGTAAAATACTGATTCAACTCTTCTACCGAAATAAAAGGCAAAATGTACAGAATATTAAGTCTATTCAAACACAAAAGTGAAAAGTAAAAAAAAAAGTATACTGTCAAACTCAATCCGTCAGTCAAAATCTGGACTCCAACTGAATTTAGATTTCTGCAGTTACTGCTTTTTTTTTTTTTTTTTTTACATTATGTGTCATAATCTGTTGATACAATTAAAAGAACTTGAGGAGTACAGATCTCTGTTTTCAAATTTAAGGAGTAAAACTCCTCAAATACAGACACTTGAAAATTGTCTTTAGGCAAGGCAAGACAAGGCAAGTTTATTTGTGGAGTACATATTATGTCCAAGACAATTCAAAGTGCTTTACATAAAACATTAAAAGCATCACTGAAAGAGAATCAAAAAGACATTATCCATCCATTCATTTTCTGATCCGCTTCTCCTCGCAAGGGTCGCGGGGTGTGCCGGAGCCTATCCCAGCTGTCTTCGGGTAGTAGGTGGGGTACCAAAAAGATGTTACAAAAATCTTAGTAAATCAACTAAAGTAATTTCATTAAAAACCAAGCACCAGTCGAGCTAATTTAAAACATAACGTGCAAAAAGGGATGAAAACAAGAGAATAAAGGATAGGTTCATAAGAATAAGTTAAGTACAGTAACAAAGTATTGTAATTGTTGCGCCTATTTTTTAAACAATAAATACAAATGGCTACAATCACATTCATATTAGAATTTTTATAACACTTTGTTTTATTCCTCTCATCCAGTTGTAAATCTCTACTTGTATCCTCATACATTTCATCCTGTCCAGTTGACCATCACCTCTACCTGACTCCAGCTTGCTCAAAAGCAATAAATCCTTACTTGTATATTAAAAGTGACACTCCAATAGTGTTGCCTTCCTTGACCTTGTATGTGTCATGTCCACTTTATCTATCTTCTGTCTTTATTTTAAAAGATGTGGACAGAAAAAGGAGTTAATGTGATCAAATGCAAATACCTAATATCGAAATACCATTATTGGTGGGGTTGCGTTGGGGGAGGCGGTGATGGCAATTATAAATCTGCAGTACAGTGTACGTGCCTTGCAATCGGCTTGTGACCATTCTTAGCTCTAGCTCTCCATAATCAGGACATGTGCCACAGAAAATGGATGAAGTGGAAGGCCAACATGAGATTTTCATAATGGGACCTAAATCCCCGGTGGCGCCCCGGATGAACATACACGTTAAAACAAGGAGCAAATAAGACCACTTTGCTCGTGAATCGTGATCTACCAGGTGTACGTCCAAGTCAGGACAAGACACACTCATAAACCTATCCAAGATAGGTTTCCATCCAACTATTTATTCTAGATGCTGTGTCTCATTGTGTGAGCGGGTTCGTTCAATAATACAACTTCTGGAAAGAGTAGAGGTTCTTTATTTGGACTGCTGCCGACCAAGACGGCAGTCCAAATTAAAGAACCTCTACTCTTTCCAGAAGTTGTATTATTAAACGAACCCGCTCGCACAAAGCGACACAGATGCCTGAGCTTCTTTCATGCAGAAACGTGGTGCTTACGGTATGACTAACTCGCGACCCATGCTTAGTGCTTTTATTTTGAAGACTAGGCTCTCAATTTCCGTGCTGAGTGTATTCGCCCATCGCTAGCCTGATGCGAGCTCCTCTTCCTCCCGAACTTCTTTTGGAGAGACTTGACGACCTCCCTCGGGTTGTCTCGACCCCTCGAAGTCATCTCCGTCACTTCCTGGATACAGGGAAACGTCTCTGCCAAAAGTGCTGACTTCTGTCTTGGAAAAGTACTAGAAAATCCGAGAGGAAAATCATCCTCGTCACGCCAAAGTTCAAGTTGGTGCAGGATGACTTTCATCTGACCCTTGTTCGATTAGATCCAGTCTCAATCAACACCATCTGACAGAATGGATTGGTGATGTTACGGTTCTGTCCCAGAGCTGCTCAGCATGCATCTGAGTCAAATCTAAACAATATGGAACTGATAACAACATTCTTTATTATTTATTGCCTTATGTGGTGGGGATCCCAGTAGAGTGCCATCATATCACCCTCTGGTGCTCCAGAGATTTTTTTTCTGGGCTCAACTCAGAGCCTTAATTCAGTGCATACATGAGGAGGTACAGTATTACGTTTTCCCAGTCGTCACATTTAACATTTTAAAATACCACAAATCTTGCCACGAAGACCTCCCAGTCATCCTGACTGTAGGTTTCACAATGTGTGAAACGTGAAAGAGGATGTGCTGTACTACACTGTACATTTAAGGCGTTCAAATTTAGGGTGCTCATACACAGTGCATCCGGAAAGTATTCTCTCTCTCTCTCTCTCTCTCTCTCTCTCTCTCTCTCTCTCTCTCTCTCTAGATAGATAGATAGATAGATAGATAGACAGATAGATAGATAGATAGATAGATAGATAGATAGATAGATAGATACTGTATATACATATGGCAGATAAATAGATATAGATAGATAGATAGATAGATAGATAGATAGATAGATAGATAGATAGATAGATAGATAATTGTGTATTTTTAAACACGTAACATCAATCTTTTGATCTCAAATACAAACATATTCAGTCTCCATTCTCCAGCAAAATAAAGGAATTGGTCTCACTGTTACAATACTTTTGGAGGGAATTTTATGTTTTAATGTGACAGTTAATGATGTAGTTGCTTACAATTTTAACAAAGTTGAAAAGTTGTTTTGCTGTCATTTCTGTCACAGAACAGCAAAAGGTTTTGCTAATCATAATGACTAGATGATTGGCAATGCAGTGTTGTTTGCTAGATCGAGTTGGTCATAGTCCCACTTGACTCCAAAGCAAATGGACTGCATATGGAAAAAGGGGAAATACATATTTTTATTATTATGATGATGATTGATGTTATTTTAATCCTAACCACATTTAAAAAATTAGTCTCACACGACATTTACATAAATGTGTAGTTTTGTGTCATCGTTGCAAACCAACAGACCAAAGACAGTGCATCCGCTCAATGTTGCTTCTGTTCTATTCTATTCTATTCTATTCTATTTTATTCTATTCTATTCTATTCTTTCTCAGAACCAGAATTCTTTTTACACTTGCTCACCGCAGCAGTGTATGAAACACACAGTAGAATGGATGGTGAAAATTGGTCATGGAAAGAATATTTATTAGTCATTACTGTGAGGGAAAAACAAATCTTGGGCACTAATCAGTACCAGGCTTTGTCCACATGATGTCACTGTGCAGTAAAAAGCCGATTCCAAGACTTCCAACCTGCCGCAACACTTTTTATTGAGTTATATTTATCGCACTCGTCCTTCGCGTTCTACTATGATTGTAACAACCTGCTATCACTTAGCGTACAGCTCACCCTGCTTATTCGTGAACATGGACAACGTAATAAAGAATACATGGCCATGAGTTGAATATTTATGTGAGAGAGTGCACTGGCCTCACTTTAGGCTGACCGTGGCTTGGGCAGCCCCCTATACATACAGTAGGACACTGCAGACTTCCTATGTGAAGCACTGATGGCTGAGAATTATTAACAGGACAATTTTAGTAGAAGGAGAGCCAGGGAGAAGGTAAAATCGCATTTTAATGCCAATAAACCTCGTTGTATTGGATTGAGGCAGTGAAAATGTGGGGTGGGGATGGGATAAGGGGTGACGATGACAGATGGTGAGCATCAGACAGAGATATAGTAAGAAAGGGAGGGGGAGCAGGAGCGGGCTGGGAAAACATATTCTTTTATCACAGCCGTTTATATTATAATCTTGTTACATCTTGTTATAAAATTGAAATCCCCATGGACACTTTAGTCTTTCAAAGTGTTATCACAAGTCATGGGAGCAAAGGGCTCTCTCTCTCTCTCTCTCTCTCTCTCTCTCACACATATACACACACACACACACTCACACACACACACACACACACACACACACACACACACACACACACACACACACACACACACACACACACACAAACTACAAATACAACAAAGTCTCCTTGAAGAGCATCACAAAGCCACTCAGAGACTTTACTCCACTACTTCTCAGTGTCTTTTCAAACACGAAGCAGAAGACTCACTATTGATTACTACAAGCCCATCTTTCCTTTAGGGGATATTGTTTGACTACTACTGTACTCAGACATCACAGGAGATAAAGATATCATAAAATACAATATGCTGATGGTAACAATAGATAAGCTCAGGCCAGCTATTCATATACGATACATGGGAGTGTTTTGCTCATTAGAGAGATTTTCTATTTATGTCAGCAGATGCAGCATCTCCCTATCGTATATATTAAAATTGGTCTGGGACTCTCTCTTGCTGTCTGACTTTCAATTAACCTCAACACAGCAGTGGCACATATTCCACATTGGGATGGGGTATCAGAGTAAAATCCATCAATCCATTTTCAACACTGCTTATCCTGAGGAGGGTCGCGGTGAGTTGCTGGAGCCTATCACGGCTGACTTCAGGCAGAAGGCAGAACTGGTCACCAGTCAGTCGCAGAGCACATATGGAAACAAACGACCATTCACGCCTACATTCACATCGTCACTGAGTTGGAACCGATCCCAGATTTTTTTTAACCTAATTCAATCACATGGTTCGGAACATTTCAGTTTTCTTTGACTTGTAACTTTGTTGGAATACGTTTACATTTAATCATTTTGAATTGTTTGACGTCAACATTTTCTTCCAACAATTTTTATTTCGATTACTGAATGAATAATTCAATAATATTCAATAATAATAACTCAATTGCAATTAATTATTTCAGAACAGGATTTTTATTTTCTTCTACTCAAGCACAGATTTAATGTTCAAACTCAACATCATGTCACAGTGGCTTACAATAAAAATAAATTTTAATTTTCGGAATAAAAACTGCCTTGTTTTTGATGACGACAGGCCTGCCACGCGACTGTATTTTTATATTGGTCACGATGATGGTACTTGGCGAGGCAAGTATATTTTATTTTGGAGGTTAGGGTCCCTGGCATAGCTAAAACAGCATCTCTAATGGTGGGCTAAGATTTGTAGTGCTGTGCATCCTTCAAAATGTGTTTTTGTCCTATATCTTACTCATGCCATTGAAACACCATGTGGCATTTCTGGAGACTTACTGTGACCAGGCCCATCCCTGTGGCTTAATAATGTGACTTTCTGGTATCTGGTATCAGCATGGAAGTGCAGAAACTTTATTTGAACAGCAGTATTTAAACTTGTAAAGCACCATATGAATGAATAAACAAGCACGATTAAAACAAATGTAAGAGCAGGAAAAAAGGATTAAGGCACAAAGTGAAACCTAATAAAGAATAGTGAGCCTTAGACAGGTTTGAGAAGAGGGGAAAGTGCTTTGCAAGCAAACACCGGAGCGGGTAAATGAAATTAAAACAAATCTAAGAGACAACACTGAATTACAACCTGAAACAAGGGGAAGTTTAAAGCTAGTGTTGAAGACAATTCAACAGATCTTATGCTGTCGTTTAGGGTTTTGTAGCATGTTCATGCGAGAGATTACCTGGGCAGTGAACACAGTGGTCTGAAATCTAGCATGGTCAAGTAATGTCGTATAGGTAATCTGCGCTATCTTCTCATTGATTCTGGATTTAACCTGGCGCCTGGGGGGCCGATGGCAGGTTTTGGCTTCTGGGGACATTGATGGTGGCATTTATAGAAGGATTTAAGGTAGAAGTAGATCAATTTGTGTGTAAATTAATTAGGCAAGGTCAAAGAGTGTAGATAATTGAGTCTTTATGGAAGACATTTCAAGGCATGGCCTCAAGGGACAATCATAAAGTACAAATGGCTATTATAAATTCTTACATTTCCCAGGAGTACATCAAGGTGTCATCTGTGTAACAGCGATATGATATCTCTGAAAAAAACCCCACTGCAGAAATGTCAATGAGGAAGCAGGTACAGCGAGATCACAGTGGAAAAAAACAACTATTGCTTGCGTAGTGTGAGTGATAGCAGTGTAGCACTGGAGATGTGTATATACATAGACAACTGAGGAAAGGAAGTTCCCAGAGGATAATATTGTATTATATATATATATATATATATATATAGCTTGAATCTCTGAGAATGAAATTGCCTTGGTGCTTGTGGGTTGACTAATGTATGCAGCATTGCAGATAGCGTACCTATGAATGATTATCTCAAAAACAACAATTGTAGGTTCAGCAATAATGCGACCAAAGGAGTTCATTCTTTAAAATCTTTTTTTATTTTTTTTTACCACGACTAACAACTTTCCTTTCAGGGGATGGAGAGAAACCAAGACAAATTTGGATGAAAGCATTTAAGATTCCCTGGACATTTGCTCAAGTCAGACACCTGTACAGCACATTGGTACTAGTACTGGTTCTCTGCTCACTTTGTTAGGATTCCCAGTATTAGTGTGGAGCACTTTTTCAGGCACAATGATGATCCAAACAAGGTTATTTGTGCATATTTACCACAAGAAAACAGTTTTTCAGAGACTATGCTATATCTGTATACAGCAAATACTGGAAATATTAATGTCCCACACAATATTTTTCCACTCAAGTTCCGTAGGCGTGGCTCCATCGGGTGTATCTGGTAATCGGCTCAAGTAATTGATGAATTTCTTACATAACACCATCTTCAATTTCAACTTAAAAAAAAAAATTCTTAAAAACAACACCACTCGTATTTGCATGAAGGTAATAGTTTTTCACTTGCATGATTTGTTTGGCAGAACTGCCTTCTTAAACAACACACAAACACAATGCAAATATCAGTGTGGAAGGGAACACGGACTGGGGTCTGCTCCTCAGGGACTTCATTGCTGCATATCTAGTCGCCATTTTTTTTGCGAGAAAGACACACTGCAGTAACATGTTCAGCCATTGTTGGAATATCCGGAGTGTCCTTGACCATGTGTGCCTTACATGAAGGGTGCCTCGATAGAATGGAGGTTTGACTTTTCAACTCATGCTGATAGATTTTTATTTCATATCTTAGCCATAGGAAATTGCATTTAGTCTAAATGTCACATTTCTTCTTACGGTGATCTCAAACTATTTGGTATACAAACCCATTGACTCTGTTTTACTTTTATTGCTTATTGTAGAGTCAATGACGGTTAAGTGTTTCAAACATCTGACTTCTCTGCACACAGCAAAGGTCCAGTTCCCACTTAGTGATGATTTGAATTTAAGTGTGAAAAGTTGTCTGTCAACGGGGAAGGCTCCAGCAACCCTGAACAGAATCAAGAGTATAGAAAATGAATGGAGAAGTGGATTATTCTTCACTACTTTGATTAAAGTTGATGGAAAAATGGTATGGGTGAGCCCAATGCCCAATTGGAAATAAAATCTCCAGCAAACATTGAAGGTAATCTTTTCAACAAAAGATGCAGTAGCTTCACAACAGTGCCCTTGTACCTTGTTAATTACCATTAAAAATAAATAAAATAATCAATGGTTGATCCTGTTGAGACAATTTTAACAACCAGAATTTCTGGGAATATATATATATATATATATATATATATAGGTCAGTGTATTGTCATCAGAGAAAACAGCACTAATTTAACATTAGGACTGGAATCAAAGTGCAATTCTCAAAGGACTGTTTACATGGTATGGCTCATCATGACTTGGGGGGACATCCGTGGCATGAAGGCTTATGCCGAGCACACAAGCAGCTGAGGTTTGAAGTGAAAGGTAGAAAACCAAGATAAATCAAATTTGGATGCTATTGCCTTCGGACTATATTCCCATGGACATTACCAAGGGAGTGTGGAATTTGTGGTCAAGTATGACTTTCATGAAGGAATCTTCTGAAGCAGAAACTGTCCAAACTGAGAAGGAGGTCCAGATACGAGCCACGGACCTCCCTATACTCCCCAGACTTCCAAAAGCTAATTTAAAAGAAAAAAAACGTGAGCAGTAAGCGTGCCTCTTGTCACGCTTCTCAGATTCTAATGCAAGAGCATATTTTATGTTCTCAAGAAACCTTAACACCGTTATGTCTTTGTTACACAAGATCATAAAATTCCAATCATCTGAGCAATTGTCCTAGTGTCTAAATCCTCTGGTGATTGAAGACCCTCTGTAGGAACTGTGTGAATAATGCAAACACAAAATATCACGTGTAACCAAATGATGACAATGGCATAAGCAATACATGCCAGCTAGCGTAATACTCGAGGTGTCAAGGTCATACAGAAGTTCCCAAAGACCAGCACACAACATACAGTAATTACACCACTGCAGTCCCATGATGTACTTCACTTCCAACGGAGCCGTAGACATGACATTTGAAAAAAAAAAATGTTTTGTGCGCACAAAGTTGTAATTTGTGCACATAATTTTACTTATATGTGCACACTAAACACTATTTTGTGCATACCAGTTTTCTACTTCGTCTGCACTATAACTTAGTGTGCATGAAATAGTTACAGTGTGCACACGAAATAGTTACAGCGTGCACATGAAGTAACGCTGATCCCTTATTGGACAAGGCGGTAAGCAAATCGAGCGCACCTTCACTGATTCGCTTCTCACTGACCTAATCAGTGCCCTCAAAAACCCACAAGTTATCGCATCTGACGTTTTTAATTTATACCAATATTAAGTTGCGATATTATGACAAAAAGTTTTTTTGTATACATCCAGGATCAACCATACAACCATGATCCTTCCCAGAGCGTTGCAGTTGCTGAACACTAAAATCGATCCCGGTGTCCAAGTCTCACCTCCGGCGGTAAAGCAAGCTAGCTCTCAACAGTCTAGTCAAATGTCTCTCTGTGATAATGATTTCTTGCAATGCCAAGCTTTCCGTGATGTTTTTAATACTCATCTTGATCCTACAATAACATTTGATCATGTTGTCCTTGTCTATTATGGAGCTTTCCTTCCACCTTTCAACTTTGAAAGGTGTGTTCGAGTTTCTTGGTCAAGTGACCCGCAAGGAGCTGCGGCTCCTTCGTGCGCACGCTCTCACTACTTAGTGCACACTTTCAAACTATTTTGTGCGCAAGATGGAGTAGTCCATGTGCAACTAGTAGTACTTCGTGCCCACAAAGTGCCGGTACTTCCTTGTGCGTACATAAGAGTTAAAGCGTGTGCACCAAATTTTTCTCCCCCAATTGTCATGTCTGGGGCTCTGTAACGTCCATTCATTTCAGCTATCTTAATGACTGTTAAATGACATCATTACATAAGTTTTTCCCATATTACACCCACCAATTACAAACATGCTGTACACTGACTTGAAGTACAGTCCTCTCTACTTCATGCATAAAATACCGAAAAGAAACCTCGCAATTTCAAGGATAGGTGGCATGTATGTGTTTTAAATATGAAAATATGTAAATATCACCTTGGGCCATATTTGAATACGAATAGATATTGTCACGTAAGGTCTGAAATTGTGAAGGGAATGTCGCTTGCAAATGAGTGCGTTGATTTGACACAGGATTAGTGAGCCACACTGCTGTTGATGGCGTAGTAATTGATATGCATGACTTTCACGCAGCTGTCATGGAATAAATTCCCACTCAATAAACCATTAAAAATTCCACTGTAATTGACTGGTGAGCAATCCAGGCTGGATCCCACCTCTTACCTTAGTTCCACTGGGATAGGCTCTTGGTTCCATGTGACCCTAAACAGGATAAGCATTTTAGAAAATGGATTGAAGGATGCAAATTAGAATCCTTTGGTGGGAGTGGTGAGAAACTACAAATGTATGTAAGATAATAAAGAAAATGTGCATACAGTAGACATTGTCTATCGTCACGGTAAAATAGATGAAGATTAAGAGAACTGCATAGTGAGGCTACTTATTAACAAATCACTGAAACCAGGTGCTTGTTGCATCTGGAAAATACAAATACTACAAAATACCAAAAGGTGAACTTCAGTTTTAATTAATTATTCCGTATAGTTTTATCACTGGGACTACACATAATCAGAAGGCAGCGGGATTGGATCACATTAGTGCTAGGGTCCTGAAGGCTTGTGCCTACTAGCACTTCCAAATGTACCTTTTTTCCTGATGAAAGAACAGGGTTAAAGCTGTAGTTCCAAAGATGCTACTTAATTCCTTAGCATCACAAGCTCGAGTCCAGCTCTGTACTTTTTTGTTTTATTTTATTTACTTATTTCATGTTGGGGCGGCCCGGTGCGTTAGCACGTTGGCCTCACAGTGCAGAAGTGCAGGGTTCGATTCCTGAGTTTGCATGAGTGTGGAGTTTGCATATTCTCCCTGTGCCTGCATGGGTTTTCTCCAGGTACTACGGTTTTCTTCCATGTTCCAAAAACATGCATGGCAGGCTAATGGAACATTCTAGATTGTGCCTTGGTGTGATTGTGAGCACAAATGGTTGTTTGTCTATGTGTGCCCTGTAATTGGTTGGCAACCAGTTCAGGGTGTCCCCCGCCTACTGCCCGAAGACAGCTGGGATAGGCTCCAGCACCCTCCGCGACCCTTGTGAGGATAAGCTGATCAGATAATGGATGGATTGAAATACTTTACACACAAAATAAGTTATTCAGATCAAACTTATGGAAGTCACATACTATAGTACTTTGTTTTCTGAAGCTGAGTTATGAGTGGTTGTTACCTGAGCCCTGAGCAACTGTGATGTCATTTTCTGTCGACAGCAAGTGGCAAAATGGCCGCCCCCTCATATTCCACATATGCAACATTAATCAGAATGTTGTGTTTATACTAGTCGGGCTGCATAGAACATGGTGTTTCGACTGACTTAGTGTGAGAGGTGAGGTACACCCTGGACAATTTAGAGTCTTGAATGAGCCTAACGTCTATACCAGCACAAACTTCACACGGGACAGCCAAAGCAAAGATTTTATTCTCGAACTTCAGAACTAAGAGGCGCAGTTGTGTGTCCCCAGTGCTACCTGAATTAACTATACTGTTTTTTGGTTTGTTTTTTTTGTTTTGCTGCTGTGTAAAGAAAACATCATTTTTTTTACCCTCGAGAATGCCCTCCTTTATTGAATCCTTTTTGCTAACATTCCTCCTTCCTAACGTTTTACCGAACCCCGTCTCTCTCCTTCTGCCATTCTATGCCTCACTATCTCCTCACACCCCTCCCCCTCTCGATCTCCAGCTATAGATAATTCATCAGTGTTTCTCATAGCTGCTGCCTTCCTGCCTACTGTGATTTCCACAGGGACTCTTTCAGGGACCATTCCCACCCAACCGGGAATTAGAGCCAGAGCTACAGAGGGAAATTAATCACGGTCACCTTATTCTAACCCATAAAAGCACACACACACGGTACAATTTTTCCCCAACCTCTGTACTTTCTTACGATTTTTTTATTGTTTCATACATGACTGAGAATAAACACAAACATTAAGCACAGTGACCATATGAATTTTTTTTTGCTTTTGAATAACCACTGAAAGCTTCAGCATGTTGTTTCTACATTTAGACGGGCAAAACAAGGAAGGCAAGATGGAGCTCAAACAGGATCGCACATTGAAGACAGTGGGATGATTTCACAACTAAACAGGATACTGCTAAGAGCTGTTTGTTTGGTGCCTGTTGGTGTGTGTGTGTGTGTGTGTGTGTGTGTGTGTGTGTGTGTGTGTGTGTGTGTGTGTGTGTATGTGTGTGTGTGCGTGTGTGTGTGTGTGTGCGTGGGTGCGGACAGTGAGAGTATTGAACAGCGATCGAGTGGCTCCCTGAGTGAATCAGAGGAAAGCTGGGATGCACTTTGAATGTCACCGCCCTCACTTTCTCTCCAGGCTTGTGTAGAGTACAAGCTGCGCATGCATTTTTGTGTGCATCAGTGTCGGAGTGGGAGTCATTTTCAACCCTGAAGATTCATGGCTCAGACCAGCCCACACTTTAGTTCACAATGTTTGAATGAATATGTATGATTTATTCGTGCATCAATAGCGACAACAGCTTACCTTTCCCTCCAACATCCATATTCAGATTGTATTATATCGTATTGTATTTGATGAAAAATGAAAAATTTCAACTGGATGTGCTTACTGGATCACAATAAGTGTTTATAAGTACACACTAAATTTTGTAGAGTATATTTCACAAAAAAAAAAAAAAAAGACTTTATTTGGTCCCAATCTGAACAGAAAAAAAAATTGTATGCAAATTAGTGGCCGAGTTGAACTTTGAAAGATTAAAATTAACTTTGATTTCATGTGAACATAAGTTACTCACCCACATTTTACACTGATGAGAGCCCCTTCGATTGTCTGGCAACCAGTTCAGGGTGTCCCCCGCCAACTGCCCAAAGACAGCTGGGCTAGGCTCCAGCACGCCCGCGAACGTGCTGCCCCAACATCTAATAAATAAATAAAATCAAACAAAAAGGTACAGAGCGAGCTCGTGATGAAAAGGAATTAAGCAGCACCTCCGGAGCAACCATTGTCCCTATCACTGCATGAACTGGACCTTTAACCAGCGCAGAATTTGTACATGTAGTTCTCATGCAATTGACGGCAAAATGGTGGCTAGTGGCATATTTTATTTGACTCACCGCATTACGAACTAGTCGCCCGTAAACAAGCGTTTTTGAAGTAAATCAGCGCCGAAGTACAACACCATTTGCATACAAACATATAAATTTATAAATAAAGCTGTATTGTATTGTATTCCCTTTAGCGTAGCTCCATCTAGTGGATGCATAACACAACCCTAGCCACTATTGTAGCTTCTGTTCTATGCGCCTTATAATGCGATGTGCCTTAAATATGAAAACTGTTTTAAAATAGGCCATTCATTGAAGGTGCGCCTTATACTCCGAAGCACCTTACAGTGCAAAAAATACGGTTCTTGCAGTGTCGTGTGATTTTTCCCTGTCTGTGTGCAAATGGATGATTTGTTGTCTGTATGTGTACATTAAAAAAAGAGGAATAATCCTTTCGTCTAAACAAACGCTGCTGTTGCCTTACTGTACCTGAGATAGATCTAAAATGCTTATGATCTGAGGATAGATTTTAAAATGAATGAGAGGCAGATGAATAGAGTTGTAGATATGTATGTCATGTAAGAAAAAGTAATGACAGTTTCAGAACTGACAATTGTACAGCAGTTGTTATTTAACATAACCTTGGTAAAAAAAAGAGTTGGAGAGATGGGACAAGGAAATTGTGCAAAACAGTGTCATTTAAAAAAGGGAACTTTAATGACGATCTAATAGAACAGCCTGATTACATTGTTCCCTTCAATTTGACCACTATTACATTATCCATGCATCTTAATTCATTTTTAGGTGGAATTACAAATTATACACTGTCTGGTACATGCTGCATTCAAATTCATTTTCTGAAGGACAACGTGTATCCTGTTGTGCATGAAGGTCTACTAGGAGCGTGCTGTGAGTCAAGAGGAGATCATATGTCTTTCGAGGCCTTAGAAACGGCAGAGCTCAAGTATGTAGAGTCAATTAGAGGAAAGGTTATGTCACAGCTGGGATGATAAGGCTATAGAGTCCATATACATACATACAAGTATTACATTCACACAAACACGTACACTGGCACATTTAAAACCAATGTGCATTGAAACGCTAAGGCCATGAACAACAGTGTTGAAGCGCACGCCACTGATTGGTGTTTTAAAGCACTCCACAAATGAGTCTTGCAGACAATTTACTACAGTTAAGATCATCTCTTAGATCATCTCTGTTCAAAGTGTGTGTCTTGAAACACACAGTACAAAGGCACGGGACTACACTGCTCAAGGTCTCAAACCCTCTCACTCTCTCTCACACAGACACGCACGCACGCACTCTTTACTTTTACTTTCCTCCATCCTCACTGTCTAACCACTCATTAGTATAACCTTCATTGTCTTTCTGTTCTTTTCCTCCCCCCTGTGTTCATTCCTCCTTTGCATATTGTATCTTCATATGTCCTTCAAGTTTTCATTTCCCTTCAGAATTTTTTTTCTTCCGCACTCAAGTTTTTTTTTCTGTCCCCTCTCCTGCCGCATTATTTCCCTCCATTCATTTCTCTTACTGCATTTACTTTTTTTGCAGAAGAAACGTTTTAAAAGACAAACAGTAAGGTGTATCAGAATTACTGTTTCGATCACATCTGTCTTTTCCCATACTTTCATGTTTCCATTCAAAACAGTAGCTTGTAGTTTTAACTCAGTGTGCACCCAAATGAAAATTCTTGGTGGAAAAAAACAAGGGGGAAAAATACTACTACTACTACTAATAATAATCTCGTAGAAAGGGTTCTGTCAGTCGTACTAATATACAAATTTTTAACATACTACTAATAATAAGAATAATATCCCCCCCTCACCCCACATTTCTATATGAATAGTACAATTCGGATTTAAAATTTGGATGCTTGTTTATTTTTTCAAATCCGACCCAGAGCAGGAAACTTGTTGACAAAACCGACAGGTGGTAAAAGCAATGTCGACAACCCACCGAAAACAGTCCGTGGTGAAAAGAAGATTCTTTAGAACTGATAAATATCTGGGACCTATCAGTTCAAAACCTGTTTCAAAGGTGTGCAGAAACTCGAATGGTATTTTCTCAAATGCATTTGTTCATCTATCCATGCCAACCTCTATCCATCCATTATCTGATCCACTTATCTTTTCGCAGGCGTGCTCATCGATCCCATCCCAGCTGTCTTTAGGCAGCCGGCGGGGTACACCCTGAACTGGTTGCCAGCCAATTGCAGGGTACACATTGACAAACAACAATTTACACTCATGTTGACACCTATGGGCAATTTAGAGTCTTCAGTTAACCTCCCAAGCCTGTTTTTGGAATGTGGGAAAAAACTGGAGGACCTGGATACACCCCGCCAACCCAGCAAGAAGATGCAAAAACCACACAGGAATGCCGGAACCTTTGAACCCCTGAACTCTGAACTGTAAGGTATCTGTAGATAACCTGCGAACCAGTCCCGTCCTAAATCAAATCAAACAATCATAATTTTTGTCAAACAATATAACCAAATAGTGTGTACTTTTTCTAATCCTCAGTCATGCAAAAATTAAAACATTACACACAAAAGATGCTTGGCTTGCACCCATTAAAAATGTGTTGGGCTTTCAGTCTTGATGTTGCAGTAAACCGACAATTCAAGATTCATTACAGGCTTTAATTTTGATGAGACACATGACCTTATTGTAACAGAATTTATTTTATGTAAATTCATACATAAATATACATTAGAGGATGAATTAATATTTATCACAATAACTGCCTCTGATCTTCCTTCACCCAGAACTCCACAATTCACACTTTATATTAATTTGATAGATAATAAAAGTTCTGCTTTATTGTCTTTGTGACTCTAAAACAAAAGAAGAGAGTCATATTTTTATACACACACTGACAGACCTAAAACCATTAAGAAATTCACCAAGTTATTTGAGGCTATAATTAGTTCATACGTCGTGTATCCTAATTGGCTTTCAAGCGATTAAACACTTTGATTTGAGGAGAAATACGGCAGAGGTGTGCAAACTTAAACAAATCCTCTTCTTAGAACCATTTTGTATGCATGTCTTGAGGATCACAAGCCTACATACCGTACGCATATCGTAGGTTGTGCGCGTGTACTGTATGTTATACATCCCCTCCCCTCTCTCTCTCTCTGTGTGTGTGTGTGTGTGTGTGTGTGTGTGTGTGTGTGTGTGTGTGTGTGTGTAATCCAATCCAATTACACTTACTCCTGTCTTTAAATGGTCATCTATGCTTCTGCTGCTTCTTCTTCTTCTTTTCTTTCTTCTTCTTCTTGGTTCATTGGCAGAATACTGCTCTTTGGTGCATACAACATCCTACACTACAGAAAAAGCATTTCGATATCCTGTATAGTCAATGGAAGGTACCCTGCTCATACTTAATTCATATCCGCGAACCAACACACAAAACAGTCTTGAATAGAAATAATTTCACCAAGATTTATCAGAAAATCACACCCATAAAAGTGTATATGCAAATAAATACACATACATAAAATATTAGACTCAAACAAAGATTGTAGATTTGTGTTGTAATAGCAGAGTGGAGTGACGTCATCTGGTTCCGCCTCCTTACCCAATCACAGCCAGCCATCACAGTCCTGGCAGAGATGTGACTGAAAACAGAAGTACACACTCTCACACATATCTATTATCTAGTCAATGCAGCGCTCTCTAAGAAACCCCCATGAACAAACACACAAGACAGGCAGGGCTGTGTTCCTCTGAACGGGTTGGAACTGGGAAGTAAATTCCTTGTGTGTTTCTTGCATACATGGCTAATAAATCTGATTCTGATTCTGAAAATAAAACATGTCTGAGATTGACGAATACATATTTTGAGTTGTTCAATATCTGCAAAATCAAATTTTTAGTAGAGTAAAAAGAAAAGTGAAAAAGTAGAATTTTTGTTGGTGTATTTTTTTAGAAGATTTATTTTCAGAGCGTTACAGAAAGCAATTAGCATTTTTTTGGTTGAGAAATAACACAAGTGGTATACTGTATACCCGTTTTTGCTGCATGCACTGCTGGCTTGCTTCATCTTCATTTGCATCCGTCTGCATCTGCCTTGGGGGGGAAAAATACAAAATGAGGATAAAACAAACAGTAGTAGATGAGTAGTAGTCATAAAACATGATTTCAGAGTTGCCATGACTGCCTGAGCTTCAGCTGTCTCAACACACCCCACTATCCGCCTGTGCCATTTTCAAACGTGTGATTACATATGCTTACGCACCTACTGTGTAAGCTCAAGGAGTTCTGGGAATTATTCTTCACATCATCAACTGTTGCCGCTGTTCTGTTTACTGAGGCATCCGACTCTGATGAAATATTCATTGGCCAAGCCATCCAAATAACTCCAAGTAACTCCTCATACGAGGCTTTCACCTTACCCAACTTAACCTGTTTACAGTACACAGAAACACACGCACGCATTCAGTTCACATAGATGACCTTTTAAAGTTGTACAATGTGATGTGTATGGTGATTCAACTTGTTAAGACATTCACGGACACCAAAGGATGTGTCATAAAAGACTTTAACGTTCATTGTGTACTATGTACTACAGTACATGATGTTGTTTTGATTTTC